CTGTTAGATCTACCTATTATCTGTTCTGGCTATATGTTTACCGATCGCATGTTTTAAGGTAGTATGATAGGGTTGAGACTGTACTGTTTTGTGTTGCCAGTCAACAAACTCTGTAATATTTATATCGGTATGTTATACGTATGTCTATCTGTTATGTATATGTCGACATGGTTTATGTGTGGTTGGGTTGAGGCGGACCTGCTTTGTGCTGAAGGCCAACAGACCCAGGGCGTCCCAGATAGACTGAAGGCCAGTGGGGCGTACCAGTCAGGCCGAAGGCCCGGATAACATTCCAGATATGCTGAAGGCCAGGTGAGGCATGCCAGTCATGCTGAAGGTTCTGTGCGCGTACCAGATAGACTATAGGCCGGTGGGGTGTTCCAGTCAGACTGAAGGCCCTGTGGGCGTACCAGATAGACTGTAGGCCGGTGGGGCGTACCAATCATGATGCTGAAGGCTCTGTTTGCATGTTGTTATTTGTATATGTTATATGTTTAGGTTTTGGTACTTTGGGGGAACTCACTAAGCTTCGCGCTTACAATTTTGGTTTATGGTTTCAGGTACTTTAGTAGATCACGTCAAGGTAAAGGCGTGACCGTACACATCCTCGCGTTTTGGACTTATGATTTCTGGGAAACTCTGATAATATGAATGTTTTGAAAACTATGTTGAAAGCGATTCTGATTTTTAAATAATGTTTTGGGAACAATGGTCCTTGTAAACACTCTTTTAGAAAAAGGGTTGTTTTGAAAAGTTTAAAATTTTATGAATTTTTATGGATGTCACAGTTTGCAAAGGGGGGCGTTTAGAAGATGGAGGTAGAAGGTAAGGGAGGGCTTAAGGTCATAATATCCTTTAAATAAGGTCCAAACCCTAAAAAATGGGGTTTGGGATCTGTGTGAGTACGCCCATCGTACTCATACGTACGCTCATCATACGCAAAAGAACCTGTGTCACCTTTTTAATGAATTACGCACGACGTACCCATAAGGTATGCCCTGCATAAGGGCTGAATTTGTAATATTTTTATACTTAAAGCCAAAATTGAAAAGTACCTGGAACACAGGTGTTACAGTAAGACCATTTTAGTTTGATCCAAGGGCGGACCTACTTGGTGTCCCGGAGTGGCTCGGACAACTATTTAAATTTTACCGTGTAGTGCAAAATTTAGTGTTAGTTCTTCAAAATCCGTCACAAATCTGTCGGAAATTCGTCACGAATTTGTTGGACATCCATCACAAAGGTCTTAATAAGTGTAAATTTAATGTAAATATGTCAGTGTAAGCCTTTTAGTGACGGGTTTTGTGATAGAAACTGCCGTTGAAAAATGAGTATTCTTAGTAGTGTAACCCTTAATAAAATTGTGCAACCATGGTTTTTTTTTTTTTTTTGTGATATGTTGGTTTGATGTATTTTAAAAGCATGATATTTATACTTTATCATATAAATACACCTTACACAACCTAGATCCAATTTTTCATTGGACAAGATTAATAACATCAAATACGTCTTTAACACTACATTTATGTGTTAGTCTTATTCTTCGTGTTGAAGTGTGTCAAATTCTCCCTCTTTGGGATTCATTTAGTTATTTGGAATCTAAGTCTTTACGATTAGGAAGCATTTCCATTTGATTGGTTGTTAGAAGTATTTGTACTATTTTAGGATTCTAGTTTCTCATCTTATAAATATAAGTTTAATTTAATAATTGTAGTCGACATAAATGCTTCTCCCATCTTCATCATAATAGACCATCTATTCCTTCTTCATTTAATGGATTTTATCAATAATACAATTCAAGTGGTTTTTTGGTTTCTCTGCAAGGATTTCCATCAACTTTTTGTATTTTTGGTTGTGTTGTTTGCTTTTTGCTTCATCATATCTATAATAAGTGATATCATAGTCAATTTTTCAAAGACATGTTTAGCCTTAATTGATTTTCCCCTTACATTTGTAACGATCTTCATCGATTTCTCCCATCCTAAGCCCGCCTGCCTAAATCGATTTTCACCCTAAAGCTCTTACTTTCAAAATTGATTCTTCCTTATAACCTATTATGGTCATATTTGACAAATGACTTCAAAATAGGACTGTTCACTATTTGGATAAAACCGAATTGTCCAATTAGACAATTTGGATCGGACTATTTGGTTCGAATATTTGGATTTTTGGATTGGTTTTTAACAAAACCGAATTATTATTTTGGATTTCGGATTGGTTTTGGTTTATAAAATAAAAAACGAATAGTCCAAAAAAACCGAATTGCAATTTATTATTTTGTTCTTTTTAATATATATCTTTAATAATTTATAAATTTACTAAATTATTCTTTTAGTATATTAAAATTTTTCATCTATTATAATACTTTAATATGTACTTCTTATCAAAAAAAAATTGTCTATAAAGTAGTAAATTATAATATATTTTTCTTGATAGTTATTTATAAGTTTTAATTCACAACTAATTAGACAATATTTTTTAGTTTATATTATAAAGTAAGTTAATACTAAAGATATATTTGTTGAAATGTCTTAATTCTTGAAAACTGAATTGTAAAAAACCGATCCAACCGAATTATAATTTGGTTGGATCGGATCGGATTTGAATTTAGTTTGGACTATTTGGATCTACGTTTTGAAAACCGAAATTAATTTGAATTCACTTGATCGGATCGGATTAAACCGATCCATCCAAACGAACACCCCTACTTCAAAACAAATATGCTACCTTTGAATGATAGACATTGAAATATGGCAAGTCAAGATGAGAGCATTGTTAGCACAAGTGGATTATAATGATACATCATATTCTTTTGGAAGAAAAAATAAAAGCGACGAGACTAGAGAAAAGAAGAAGAATGACTATGACGCCCTAAACTAAATTTAACTCAGTGTTCACAACATATGCATGAAAATGATCTTACCAGTAAATTCATTTAAGTAGAAGTTGTACACAATCTTCAATATGAAGGAAACCTGCCCAACCATATATTTTATTTCAAGGGAATTGTTTATGACTTGAAATCCATGAAGTCAAATACGAGCAATATTTGTATTTGATAAATAATTTTTTTATAGTATGTTATATTTTTATTTATTTTGTTACACGTCATTGGTTATTTTAATCTATTTTCACATGTTATTTTATATTTATTTTTAGCATTTTATGAAATTCCACATAAATATAATAATTGTAATAAATTTAATAATAAAAGGATATCAATTTCTTTAATACAACTTTCTTTCTAATTTCTAAAATATTAAATTGAAGCCCAGTTGTTTTCTTTGTTTATTTATTTAAACTATTTGTTTAAATTTAAAAGAAAAACAAGTATTTTAATTTCAATCATTCAATATTTTTCTCATTTTTCTTATAAAATTAAGCTTCCTAAAAGTTTAGACCATATTTTTTTTAATAAACTCGTGTATACATGAGTCTCAGGATTAGTTATCTATAAACCAATAAAATTAAAATAAGAAAAAATTTACAAATTTAGCAAAAAAAAAAAAAAAAGGTTAATTACCTTTTAAAAAATAAATAAATAAATCCGAAACTAACCACTAAGTTCGTAGGTGGCTAGACCCACACTTGAGAAGTTGGCACCTCTAACTTTGAAGTTTCCTTATTAAGTTATTATCGGACTGGGAAGTGACCAATTTCCGAACCATGGTCCGACAACAATTTGTAGCTATAAAAGGCAAAATAAAATAAAAAAATCATAAAAAAATTCTAACTTCCCAGTTGGGTGCAAAATTGGCACCTTCAACTCCGATTTCCTTTACATTCCTTGCTATATTCTTGATTTATGTCTTTTTATTTATGTTTTTAATAAAATACGTAGGTTTAACTACGATTTTGTTATTTTTTACTATGATATCTGACATCTTGGACTACTATTTCGTACAATTACATTAGATTATCTATAAAAATTATGTAAATATTGTTAGATTATCAGTTTTTTCTTTTGAATTTTTGTTTTTTATGATTAAGTTCCGATGAATATTTAGTTGTCCTTGTAACGAGGAAGAGGGTAGATAGTTGAGATGATGTTAGTACGTATCTTAATGATGTGGATGGACGTTATATTATTGATCTCCAACAAAAAAAAGTTCAGGTAACAGATGACGGTGTAGTATTCATCTTAAAAAACATTTGGGATAGTATTCATCTTCAACCATTTGAGGAGTTGAGAGAATTTTTCTGAATCTTAGAGTAAAAATTAAACTGATTTCCAAAAATTAAGGTTTATATACTTCCCGCCCATCAGGAGAAAAATGGGTTACTTCTCAATCAAATACGGCTGATTACCTGCAAAGTTAGTGGCTATTTTGGAAAAAAAGACTAATCTTTAACTATTTTTTTAATATATAATTAACGTTTTTGGCTAAATTTAGAGATTTCGTTAAAATAAAACTACAAATTATATCCTTCGAAATAAAAATATGATAAATTACGTTTATCATTCACATTAAAATTGTATGAATTCAATAAAATTCGTTGGTTGTTTTTATATTCCCGCGCATTGATTGATATTCTACCTTTTTTATCCGTTATACATATCTATAAAAAAATAGATAATAGCTTCATAAACCAATAATTTTTTTTTGTCCCTTTCATTGTTTATATGCCCTACAAACTACAGAGCTTGATACATACAATAACTCTCATAACAAACAAACCATTAAAAACCATTTTACTAAATTTATCATTTAGAATCTGAGATACCCAAAAGCTTCCTCCAAATTTCTATTTTATATTATGATAAAAACAGATAAAGCAAATCAAATTTTAATATTTAGCTCCAAAGAGAACAAATCAAACAATTTAAAAATCACATAAAGTATAACCTTCATAGCTATATATATTATATGCTAACGAGTCCCTTTGTCGTTCATGACTTAATACAATTCAATTCAGTCTTGTCTCATATAACAAACACAATTTAAAATGGACACGATAGATCAGCCCAATCCAATCATGTCACGTGTAACAAACACAACCTAAACCTAATACATCATAACAATCGAATCAAATACAATCATGTCTTATGTAACAAACACAATCTAGCTATTAATTTAATTAATATCATGGAAAGATATCAGAAAATCCCCTTACATTTTCAACCTTTTACCTGTAAATCCATTACAAAATTTTCTTCCACAGAAAAAACGTAATTTTTCTTTTTTTAAGCCATTATTTACCTACTAAAATCGGTTAGCACGGGTTACAAATACTTACATGGACACAACCCTAAGAGTCTAGTCCAAAACAACCAAATGTGATATACATTATTGTAGGCATGTGTAAGTGTAACCTCCTAACCGATTTTATTAGGTAAATAATGACTTAAATGTAAAAAATCAAAATTATCAGTGTAAGGGATTTTTAGATAAAAGACGAAAATGTAAGGGGTTTTCTAAAATTTGCCCTAATATGTTTATTTACAATTTACAAACTATCAAAACTATATATATATATATATATATATATATATATATATATATATATATATATATATATATATATATATATATATATATGAATGGAGATAATATTTACATACCATATCCACACTAACTTCTATCTTCCTTCCTTCAAAATCAAGATCTTGATTTGCATCCACCATGACTCGAACTCCACTTTCCCCCACAATTATAACAAAACTCATACTCACATCTACAAGTTATATGCAAACACCCTTCACTTTTCTCCACAAAAAATCTACACATTGGACACTTCTTCCATTTCTTCTTTTTAGCAAGTGCAATTGCCATGTCATCATCTCTTTTCCCTTTCCTTTTACTCTTAAGTTTCCCAAACTCCTTACAACTAAACTCAGAATGCCAAGGAACCCTACACACTGCACAAAACGCGCGCCTGCAAACCGGACAATCAATATTTGTAATGCTGATGTCATCGTTTATTAGCAAAACAGAACAGTCAGCAAAAGGGCAGTATAGCTTTTGGGATTCAAGAATCATGGATTCACAGAGGTGTTCATCCCATTTGATTAGGGTTTCTTTTGGGATGATTTGTCTCAAGGTGTTGGGATCTAATGTGGATTTGCAGTTTAGTTCTGGGCATGTGATTGTGTTCTTGGATTCGTGTATCTTTGTTGTTGCGTGTTTTCTTGTGCAGGTGTAACAGAAGGAATGAGAGCATGTTGAGTTTGTGAACATTTGCCATGATTCTTGATTCTCTAAGCAGATTTTGCAGATGATTTCTTTGAATTCTGTGTTCTTTAATAATGAACTTAGGGTAGATCTTGTTTTGCGTGATGAGGTTGATGCTAATAAAGCTTCTTGGATTTGTAATTCTTCTGCGAATTTTGAATCAGGTTCTGGTATGATGTCATCGTTGTCTTCTTGGAAAAGTACTGAAAGATTTATGTTCGTATTAGGTTTCATAAATCAAAACTAGTATTGGATAACTGTTTGTTCCCAAATTGAATCCAAATCAGTCACTTTTTGAATTAGATTGTGAGAAAGATTTATATGCATCTTCAGACACATTAATAGTCCAAAAGCATCATTGATTTTGACAAACAACATTTGAGATTCTATCTATGAAGAGAAGAGGTGGTGAAAAATATCCTTGAAGCAGGGTTTTGACATTTTAATCTATAGATTATCTCTTGATTATCTGCTTTTACAAATTAAAGGCTCTCATAACATGATTAAAGATAAAGATGATTAGCAAGTTAGCTTACCAGTTCATCTCCGCAATTTGTATAGATCACTGAAAGTGCAACAGAGGAGGAGGAGGTGAAGGCACAGTGATAATTAAACATAAATCCACAAAAAACGCCAAAAAGAGTTACGAAATGGACATACGACTCCTAATCATGAACATGAACTAATCGAAACAAATCGCATAAAGACAAAGAACAAAAGGTAATATGCTGATATAAGATGACAGAGAAAAGGACAATCAAGTTCTCGAATTAGCATGGAGTAATGAGGTTTTTTAGTTTTAAAACGGAACTTATGTATATCGATAATCATGATTGAGCTGGACAAATCAAATATCGATCAAATCAACTGATTAAAGACACGATTAGAGTTGAAATATACTCAAATAGTTAACGGTAAACATACGTTCATAGTGAAATCAGTGGCGTAACAAACCCTTACCATCGCTTGCAGATTTCCACGAAAGTTCGTCGTCATCAGATCTCTGAAACGAGCCTCTAGCCGCGTCTGCAATCTCCGCTGTAACATCATCATACTTTAACTTTCCGATGTTCAATTCCTTCCTATTTTTGGATGAAATTGAGTAGACAAGAGAGGCGAACATGAGTACAACTACAGGACCGGCGGCGTACCAAATTGCTCCGGTAGATGGTGAGGGTTTCTGAAGGGCGAAGTTTAAGCCGATGAGTTCGTTGAAGCCGGTAAACATGTCGACGACGAAACTATCAACGACGGCGATTGGGAGAGTGTAGCAGTAAGACCACCATTCAAAGTGGATTTATCCACGACTTCCTCTACAAGAACTACATTTTATTATTATTTTTTATTTTGTTTTTTATAATTTCGATAATTCTTTGATTTTTTTAAAATTAAAATAAATAATTTTCAAAACCGCCAAACTCCCGATAACACAAAAAATATTATTTTTTAAAGGGGTTTCCAAATATTTTATTGACTATACTATTATTATGTCAACCATCACATTTTAATAAACCTTTCTAAAATTGACGATAAAAAAACTAAAAGAATATAATTAGAAGCTACAAGACGTTAACAGATAATTAAATTCTAATGTATAAATCTTGACATCCTTTAAAAGATTTTATTTAATCTCACACCAAATCAACATTGTGTTATTGTAAGTAGCCAACGTGACCTAACATACTCGCTTTAATAAATGTAACATTACATATCTTATTAAAGTTGTTGCATTTGTTACACCTATGAAACCATTGATGTTTAAGAATGGTACACATATTGAGAAAACCACATATATCATGACTTGAAAACATAATCTATTTAATCACAAAGTGTGTATATGCATCCAAGATATTGTAAATAAAGCTTTAAAAGTTGTACTTTGCTAACCAGATGATTATAGGAAAGTAGGATGATATATCCTAAGTAGAATGACTAAAGATAATCATCACAGACTAACTACAAGTTGAAAGTTACCTATATGGTGTGCGGTCTTATAGCCTTAATTATCGCCTTTGACTTTGTAGGCTTGACTCATTAAACTAGTAATAAACATATCATTTTATCATTCCAGCTATACTCTTCTAGAGAATACCTTGGGTCGAATTTGCTCAACTTTCTTCAATTCCTTCAAAAGTCCAAACCCTTTGAGAAATTATGACGTCGTTTGTCATATATTTTTTATTTTTTGAAGGGTTGGTTAGTAGTCGGAAGTTAGTATCACCAAGTCATTAAATTCGACAGCGTTCGAATCAAAACCCGAGACCTTCAATCTAAAAGACAAAGTCTCTACGAAATCGGCTAGTCCCACACTTACCATATTATTCCAAACATTTCCTTTAAATAGACTTCACCTTATGTTCATGTCAAGGGTTTGTACCAAATTAGGTCTTATGATAAACTTCAATGCACGTCTAAAATTTGTACATAATTGTTGTTAATAATGATAACTATCAACTAGCATGGATACAATTTCATGTAACATTAACCTAAATCTTTTGTTATATAAATGTAGGTTAGGGTTTGAAGTATATGGCCATCACAATGCTGAAAAGATTAACTATTAGTGATTATGTTATTTAACATTAGTTTGACATATCATTAACTACTAAAAAGATTACATATTATGTAACATACATAAAATTCAAGCCAATTTAAAACTTTTCAACTATTCAAAAATCATTAATTATTACAAAGTGTTTTCAAAATAGTTTCATGTCAGAGTATCCCAGAAATCAAAGTCATAAAATATAAGGAGGTGCACGATCACGCATTCGCCTTCCCGCGATCATCTGATGTACCTGAAACAAAATCCAAAACTGTAAGCCCGAAGCTTAGTGAGTTTCCCCAAAATACCCGCACAACAAATAACACACATATAATAACAGCATACTATAGGCCCAATCAACCATCGGGTTGGAATGTCACAGGCCCTCAACCATCGGGTTGGAATGCCAACATATTATGGGTCCAATCATCCTCGGGATGGTATACCCTTGGCCCACAACCATCGGGTTGGAATGCTCGGGTCTATTGGCTCTCGCACAAAGCAGATAAGCCTCAACCATCAATCAATCATGTGCACATACATCACATAATCACATAACAGTCTACAGACGGACAAAACGATCTACATGTCACTAAGCATAGCAACATCCTATCTACCAGGATGCCGATCTAACTGATCATAACCACATAGAACTATCTATCTACCAGTATACCGATCTAACAGATCATAACAGTACTCAAGCATACAACAAAGTAGGATAACAATCCAAAAGGTCCGGCCTTGGTGCCTTCGACCCTTGAGTATAGTCAGGAAAACTCACCTCACAAGTAGTGCTGAACTGGACTAAAAATCTTCGACCGCTGTCTCACCGAAAATCACTAACTATCCAAAATAACGAATACTAAGTCACCAATTGGGATATCAATCTTAACCAAGGGTCCACATAGTCCATTTTGTCTTTTCTCTAATTTGGGCCAAGGCCCAATACGAAATTTATTATCCAAAAGTCTATACACATAAGGCCCATCATTGGCCCAATTTTCCCAATTGGGCCCCATTTTAAGATCTATTACCCCTATTGGCCCAAAACACATCTATTCAGAAAGTCCAGCAAGGCCCAAGTCAAACTGGCCCAAAGGCGGCCCAATCCTGAAGCCCAAATTGTCAAAAGCCCAACAGAGGGCGTATGCTGGCGTACTCCTCTAGTACGCTGGGTGTACTCCGCCTTGTGTTGACCACCATTGGGGTGGATGACTCAGTACGCTGGGAGTACAGAACGTACGCGGGGCCTACGCAAGTTTACCAAAACTCTAATAAGTGCTTAATGGCTTAAGCACTTATGCCCAAACTCCAAATCCATCGACCAAATGTGCCTTAGAACCATAAAGTCTCGAATTTTAAGACTTTGGAAGTCCAGAAAGGTCTTAATACATGGTCTTAACCCATTAAGACCTTTCTACTACATGCATGGGACACTTTTATCCATTGGGACATCATTTTTATCACTTAGGACCCTTTCTAGGGTCTGAAAGGACAGTTTATTTCGTCAAAACATAACATGCACCAACTTGGGACTTTTGGGACAAGAAATGGTTTCATAAAGCTAATATGGAAAGATCTACATCATACAAGCATAAAGGTTGGAGCTTTTTACCTCCTGGAGCTTCTAGAGCACAAAGAAACCTCAGATCTACAAGCTTGACTTCCTTCTCCAACTTCTTGATGCAACACCATCTTCACCAACTACTCAAAGCACACACTTTTAGCTCACACACTCAAGAAAGGGGTTAGGGTTTGGGGAAAACGGCTCAAAACTATGGAGGCTGAGATGATGGAGGGTTTTGAGCCCATAAGGACGTTTATTTAGCACCCAAACCCTAAATATTAGGGTTTCCATCTGTCGTGAGTACGCCTAGCATACTCAAGTGTACGCCCAACGTACTAGGGCGTGCCTAGTACGCTTAGCGTACCTTATATACACTTAGCATACCCGTCTTGTTCTCAAAGTTGCAACTTTAGCCCTTAGGCTTCTCATGTCTCGACTCTTCCAACCCCAGGAACTACAAATGACAAAATAATAATAAAAGAGAGGATTCGGAAATACCTACAAATCTCGGGATGTTACAACTCTCCCCCACTTGACCTAGACTTCGTCCTCGAAATCTTTTGAAGCAAATAGATCCGGATAATGCTCCCGCATCTCGGACTCTGACTCCCAAGTCCACTCGGATCCTTTTCGATGTCGCCACTGTACCTTTACCAAAGGTATCTCCTTGTTGCGCAGAACCTTTATCTTCCTCTCCAATACAGCCACCGGCTGCTCCACATAATTCAGGCGCTCGTCTACCTGAATGTCATCTAACGACACTACCGCATCCTCGTCCAATATGTACTTCCGCAACTACGAAACGTGGAAAGTTCTATGAATCTGATGGAGCTCCTACGGAATATCCAGCCTATATGCCACCTTGCCAGCCCTGGCAATAACCCAAATTGGTCCAATGTATCGGGGACCCAACATCCCCCTCTTTCTGAAGCGAATCACACCCTTCCAGGGTGAGACCTTCAGTAATACCATGTCGCCAACCTGAAACTGTTGGATTAGGTGTCTAATCCCATAACTATAATTGGTATGTACTTGACCCGAGAGCAGCATGGTCCATTTTGGGTTGTATTCACCAAAGCAATTTGATAGGATGAATATTTGAGAAAGAAGTTATTTGTGATTTATTAATATATTATAAGTATAATATATTAGTCGAGAAATCATATTATATAATTAGTATTGATCAAGAATTAATTTGGAATTAATTTAGTGATCAAAAGAGACTAATTAAATTAACGGTGACTGATTAAGTAAATCAGTAATACTTATAGTTTGGGATAATAATACATGTTGATTATGTGGACTAAATCTTTGTGGAGTCCATGAAGATTTAGTCCAAAGGGCTTATCATATGGATTATTGGATTAAACGCCCAAGGAAGTGGATTAGGGTTTACAAGTTGAAACTCTTGGAATTCTACACTATAAGTGTAACCCCTAAAACCCTAAAATGGGCACTTGTGCATTCCAATAAAATGCTAGCCGTTTTTGGTGGTGAATAGCCTCTCTCTCATTTGTCCTCCTCTTGCTCTTGGTGTTTTGTGAACCATTTGAGGCATCACACTTGAGGTGTTAAGCTCTTGAAAGGCCAAAACTCTACAAGCTACAACAAGGAGGTAATTGTCTAACTTATTTTTATGTTTCAAATATCAAGTTGTATGCTAGTTATAGGTTTCATGCTTTGGATAATTTTTGTTGCATGTATAACTAGAGAAAACTTAGATCCAAAACATTAGGGTTGTATGTGCACCATAGGGATGTTAGAGTACATAAAGCCCAACAGTGGTATCAAAGCCATGGGTTATTTTCTGTTATATTGATGCATGGCTAATTGTTTAAAGTTGAAGCAAGTCGAAAACTGCACTCTGACAGAAGGACTCGACGAGTCCATAACCTGACTCGACGAGTCGGACAGTCTGTTTGCAGTTTTTCGGGTTTTTTTGGCCTGTTTTGGATTAGGATCATTACCACAAACTGTTTTGGTTCATAAAATTTGATTTTGTTGATATGGTAATGATTATCCCCATCCAATAACATGATGATTTCCAAATTTTAAGATAATTACTTGATTTTGTGAAAAACTAATTATTTGTAAAATTTGAATCATTTTGCTACTTTATTAGTTTAAAGTTTGATCTAAATGTTTCTTGAAGAGTTTCATAACTTGTCCTCAAGTTATAGAACTTGAAAAGTCTCATTC